CTGCTTGGTGTTGGAGTACTGCTTGGTGTTGGGGTACTGCTTGATGTTGGAGTACTGCTTGGTGTTGGAGCAGTGCTTGGTGTTGGAGCACTGCTTGATGTTGGAGTACTGCTTGATGTTGGAGCAGTGCTTGGCGGAGTAGAAGACTTAGGTGTAGAAAGGGCTGGTGTTGTAGTAGGAGGATTAGTTGTAGTACTGTTTTGTGTAATTATAGCTGTAGTGGCTGCAACAAAACAGTCAACAAAAAAAGCAATTACAACAACAGAACAAAAAAAGAAAAAAACAAATGAAATGCACGCATACAACGGCAAGAGAGATAACGATCATAACGCAATACATGAACGCTAGATATCTACATTTATCCGGGATTCTTGCATTATGCGCGAAAAAAAAATCAAAATTATACGGAATTTTCAGGGATGATTATGCGGAAAAAAACACTTATTATGCGCGAAATTATGCGTGTATCGATGTCGATGTTTTGTTAAATTAAAATGACACTTTAAAAGTACTTTGACGGTAGAAAAATGACAAAAACAATACTCAAACAAGAAATAGAGATAAGTAACATATATATCGATTTTTTCGCAAATTATGCGGGATTACGTGGAAAATGGCAGATTATGCGGGTCCGCACCAGGGCATAAAATGCCAGAATCCCTGATTTATGCTCAAGATTTATAAATAAGGTTTTCAAATTCCTTCTAGAAGTCATACGTCACATTTACACATTATTAACTTTCTATAAAACTCTTTTATGTCTTTTTCAAATATATTATAGACCATTTTTAATCTATTGACAATAGTGTAAATGAAATGCTGTTTTGTGTTCATGTCAAGTTCAATAATATATAAGATAAATGCTGAATTAATACGTATCGTACGAAGGGGTAACAGAGCGAAACATTTCATTACCTCATTGCAATATATCAGAGTTGGCGCACCGCCGAGTTTTGATAATTTGTACAATTCAAAAATAAAACCACGATTTTTTATGATATTACACAGTATTTTAACGTTCTAGATTTAATGATTGCTGAAGGTTATTTATAAGATAAAAAACACATGACGGAAAGAAGTTTTGTTATCATTATATTTAACACTTGCTGAAACAAATTGATCAACGCAAGTTTCCTGCATTTATTCTCTTCTATTTCTTGCAAACTTTCATTGGAATGTAGGCTATTAATCCAATCCCGCCAGACTCTTTTAAATCTCTACAAAAGACAATTACGTTCTCGAGATGCATTTCTCTTAAATAATTTGTCGCACGACAGAGAGAAAGTGACGAACTTTTAATAAAAATAAAACACTTTCTATTATTTCATGGCACAACTTGTTCTTTTATGTCCTTTGTGTTGGAGCCGGTATGCAATCCCGTTGTGCTATATAAGAAGACGAAAGCTATTGCTATAGAATATTTTTTCCTCCCATATACAGCAATACAATAACGATAACGATCAACTATAACTCAATACTACAACAGACCAATATGTGAGATGATAATAATTTTTCTTACCAACAACCGAATCTACTTTAGTGAGTAGAAATATCATCACTGCTAACATATAAGCCATTTTCCTCTGCCGTAGCATCTAGAGCCGTAATAGCTAGTACATTGATATGTATGTACACATGAGCTATCAATGATACTGACGATGTCTTCATTCATGAATAACGACCGCAGTCATTCAACTATAGATTCAATCGTGACTAGCACGATATTGTAATTACCTTTTCCAAAGAGTGAATAAAGGTCAATCACACATCTATTTTAATATCCTCTTATCTTAAAAAAGTACAAAACAGGGCCAAAAGTATACACCTACTTGCGAAAACGTTGTCATAGAAAAAAGGACATTTGTATTTATAAAAAGGAATAGATTAAAAAGGACAAAAGAAGATCACTGAGGCTGAACGCTCTCTTTCGTCTTGTTTTAATTTATTCCTTTTTACCAAATTTTCTATGACAACGTTTCTGCAAGTAGGTGTATATTGCTATTTCAAAAAAGGTTGTCGGATACAATGGCGAATGTCGATGGTCGAACCAATTGCATGACCGAAAGTAGCCATGGTTATTGCTAGTTGAAAGGCATATAAATAACAACTGATTTGTACTGTAAAATTGTCTGTGGTAAACATTGGCTCTATTTAGTGTCCACTATTTAAGGTGAATCCAATAAGTGAAATTTTGTTTTACCAAACAGTGTAACCATAGTCCCTTTCGGTCGTGTAATCTCCCTCGACAATGGCCGTTCACCGTTCTCCCCGACGTTTTTTTAAAATAGCTGTATGCTTTAAGTAACAATTGCAACCTCTAGCATATTTCATTATATCGGTTGCATCATGGGAAATGCGATTGTTTGCTCTTTTCTCGCTAAAGCAGATAGTAAATTATTTAATTACTTTAAAAATCTAGTTTTACGATGAGAAATTAAAGGTTCATCAAATTTGGAGTATAGTTTTTCCTATGTATCCTTACATTTCTATACAGTATTTTTCAATGAGCAGATTTGCTCCTTCACTAGCTGCCAAAGAGATAATTTGACGTAGTTAGTAATGYTATAATAGCATTTCGTCTAGTTAACCATATAATGCTCCTAGATGAGTCTATGGAACCACGAATGTAAGCTATATTTATACTTAAACTGAGCCAATATGTCACCGTCGTGTGTAGCTTGGTGGACTAGCCACGACGACGAAAACGGAGTCTCAAAGATGTCGTGCTCCGGCACTTATTACTTACAATGACAGCAAGAAAAGACAACAAGAAAAATAAAGGGAAAAAATTCAGTTCTTACGGCTGACTTACGGCTGTCTACATTCAAACAGACATTGTTTTAATCCAGAGAAGAACCCAGGCATGGCTTGAGGCCTTCAAATAACCCTGCATCTATCAAGGCAAATACCCGTATTTCTTTATTTAATGTCCACATTGACGGACAACTTTTTCCAGAAGCACCATGCATTAACTTTCAAATCACCCTCGTGAAAGCTCTTGCATGATGACATTTCAATCGTCAAAGCTGATATCCCTCCTGCTTTGTAAGTGATGGCAGTAAATCTCCAAATGCTGTTTTTTTCATTTCTTTATTACTATTACTTGAAATAATGGTAGTTCTATAGATTTTTCAAAATAATAAAAAAAAAACATTGCGTGACGTTCAGTATTATATTTCAATCGCCCCATCAGGCTGCCTGACTCAGGGTCTGAAGGTGAATATTGAATAACGGTTCAAAATTGACTGGTAATAATGAGTAGTCAATAAAACTCCTAAGGAATAATGAATAATGAAAAAATCAAAAAGAATAATGAATAACGAAAAAACTATTATTAACAATGATGGTTAATAGGAAAAATATATGCATGGAATAATAGGTAAAAATAAGACACGAATATAGAATAATTGGCAAGTATTCACCTTGAGAACCCGGGCCTGGAGTTTAGACATTCCAAAAATGTTTGGTGGGGTTATTTTGGGTGAATGACTTTCTTCGCATTATGCAAACGGCCATGGACAAAAAGCAAAGCAATCCTAGCTTGTCGATCTGTTCCGTTTGTATTATTGCAGCAAAATTACCAACTTCATCATTGAGAAATCGATAATATCTCGTTGGCTGTGGCGGCATAGTGACTTCTCTTGCCATGAATCCAGACAGCAGTGTTAAAGTGCGTGTGGCGACATCAGATGATGTGCATAAAATAATTCAAATATCCGAAGCAATCTACAATGGCGGAGACTACCTTCCTGTTGTTCTTCATCAATGGCTGACCGAGGAAAGAAGGTTCATCTTCCTCGCCGAATATCAAGGTGAAGTCATTGGATTGCAAGTAGCGACGGTTGCAATTGATCAGGAGTCGTTTGTAACTCAGTCCTTAAGAATTCATCCCAAATATCGAGGAAAGAAACTTAGCTATCAATTGACTGATGCTGTTACGAGGGAAATGTGTACACGGTTCCCACAAACGTCGAAACATGTCTTGACATGCATGAAATCATCAGCTGCATTTAAAATGTACACAAACAAGGGGTATAAAACATTAGAGGAGTTAACCTACCATCTAGTACACATCAAGCCATCTGATATCGTGTGTGTTCGCCGTGAGAGCCAAAATTGGAATGACACGGGCCTGGTTTCGATGTGTGAGAAAGATACATTAAAAGTTTTAAAAGACAAGAAAATCCTAGACCTTGTTGGTTCACACGGCATGGTGTTTGGAAAACATCATTTCCCTCGAAAGCTTCCTGAAGAGGCTCATCTTGAAGCTGAGGAAATAG